CAAGATGGCTGAGCCATCTCTCCAGCCTCCAAAATAGATATTTTAAATTCATAAATTCCGATGTATCACTTCTCTTAATAGACACTGATTTTTGCTGTTATATTGGTGTAAACTGCTGAGTTCAAGGTTGCAAATGTTTTTAAATATTTTATTTTTTATGTACATGAATATATTGCCTGCAGGTACGTAAGTGTACCTGTGTTGTGCAATTCCCGTGGAGGTCAGAAGAGGCTGTCATCCCCTGGAACTGCAGTTACAGATGGTTGTTAGCCTCCATGTGGGTGTTGGGAACCAAACCCGGGTCCTCTGTAAGAGCAGCCAGTGCTCTTAACCACTGAGCCATCTTTCTAACCCCTAGTCACAATGGTTTTGTTTTCTTTACAAATGTTTTTGTTTAGCTCTCAAACTTAGGCCTGTGGTTGACTTTCGTTTTTCTGCAGGAATGAAGACAAACACAAAAGGGTTTTCAGCCCTGGGTGTATTCAGATGCTTGGGACCACCCCAGAAAGCCAGCACTCCTCCCCAGTTACCTTGCTGTCTTTGTTTAAAGGCAGATGACCAGAAATGAAAGGTGCAAGTCTGAGCTTTTATTCTGCTCCACTCATCTGTATGTCAGTTTTTATGTCAGTACCACATTGTCTTGTTGCTGCCATTTTACACTAAGATGTGAAGTCCTCTGTATAAGTTTTACAGAATTGTTCTGGCTGGGGTATCTAGCTCCTCTGAATTTCTGCATGCATTTTAGGATCAACCGCGTCTCTCTCTCTTTTTTTTTAACTTAAAAGAAATTATTGAGAATTTCATACACGCATATAAGGTGATTTGATCAAATCCACACCCACTCTCTCCCTTCCAACTCCTCCCATATCTCCCCATCACTTTTTTCTGACAACTTCATGTACTCTTTCTTTTTTTAATATTTTATTTTTATTTTACGTGTATGCATGTATTGCCTGCATGTATGTAAGTGCACCCGGGTCATGCAATGCCCGCAGACAGAAGAGACAATCAGGTCCCCTGGAACTGGAGTTACAGACGGTTGTTAGCTGCCATGTGGGTGCTGGGATTCAAACCCGGGTCTTCTGCAAGAACCACCAGTGTTTTTAACTGCTGAGCCATCTCTCCAGCCCCTCTTTCTTTTTTCTTAATGGGGCTTTTTGCTACTCTAACATTCCCCCCTCTGAAACCCTAAAATCTTTTAGGGATTAGATGCTGGGTTCAATAGGAATGGAGATCAGGCTGCAGATCAGTACAAGAGAGGCCACTGCTCGCCTAATATTTTTTCCAATCTGTGCATCTTTCCATTTGATGGATTGTCTTCAACAACTTTTAGCCATGTTTGTAACTTTAGTAGTGAATGGAATGACTGATGCTCTAGATACCTATTAAGCTACTAGTTTACACATTTTTAAAAATATTTATTATTTTTATTATTTTATGTGTATGCATGTATTGCCTGCATGTATGTGAGTGCACCCATGTTGTGCAATGCCACAGAGGTCAGAAGAGGGCTTCAGATTCCCCTGGAACTGGAGTTAAGGATGGTTCATAGCTGCCATGTGAGTGCTGGGAATTGAACCTGGGTCCTCTGCAAGAGCAGTCAGTGCTCTTAACCACTGAGCCCTCTCTCCAGTCCCTAGTTTACACATTTTAAAGGGTTATGTGTTCTGTAAGCAAACAGTTTCCTGTTGTACACTGTATGCCTTGAGTTCCTTTTCTTATTGCACTGGTTTTAGTAGGATGTCAAAGGTGACGAGACTGGATGTCCTTGCATGTTCCCAGTTCAGGGGGAAAGGTCACTCTTTCATCATGAAAGAGGCAGACTAATGAGCTCTTTGTGCTTTTCATTTTATTCCAAGGCTGTGGAGATTTTTTAAACCCACTATGGTCCCCCATTCATTTTCTACATTAATTGGGATGATTATAAGGTTCTTGACCTTCATTCTATTAATATTTCCTTATACTAATTGGTTTTCAGATGTTAAACAAATGTGCTCCTAGAATAAACATCACTTATTCATGATATACAATTCTATATGTGTGTTATTAGACTTGATTTGATAGTGCCATTTGCTTGAATTTCCTGAATGCTTTTGACTCACAAGAGTCTTCGCTGACTTTTTCTGGCTTTGGTATCAAGTCAATCCTGGTGTCACTCAATGAATTTGAAGTGTTTCTCCCTCCTCTGTGATCTGAGTTTGTGTGCAACTGCTATTTTCTCCTTAAAATATTTAGTAGATCTATCCATGAAGCCATGGGGATTGAAAATCTTTTTATTTGGTTGTTTATTTATTTAGAGACAGGGTCTCACTATATAGACCTGGATAGCCTAGAACACAGAAATTTGCCTACCTCTGCCTCCTGAGTGTTGAGATTAAAGGCATGTGCCACCATGCCCAGCTGTGTTGGGATCTTTTATGGGAAGATTTTATTATATTTTTATTATAAAGATAATAAAGCTTGTTATCTTTCTGCTTGAATTTTAATGTGTGTGTATGTGTGTGTGTGTGTGTGTGTGTATGCTCACACACATATGAGTGCATGAGCATGTGGGGGCCCAAGGGCAGCCTCAGTTGTCGTTCTTCACTGCTGTCCATTTTGATTGATTGATTGATTGACTGATTGATTGATTGATTGATTGATTGATTGATTGATTGATTGAATCAGAGTCTCTCACTGGCCTGGAACTTGCCATAGGCTAGGCTGGCTGGCCAGGGAACTTCAGAGATCTGCCTTGCCAGCACTGGAATTACAAGTGTGCACCACCATGCCTGGATTTTTTTTCATGGGTTCTGGGGCTCAAATTCAGGTCTTTGTGCTTACAAGGTTAGCACTTTACAGACTGAGCCATCTCCTCAGAATTCTCGTGGGATTTTCTGTTTCTCTGAGTCACTTGTGATCATCAGTGTCTCTGAGCTTGGAAAGACAAAGCCAGACTCTAGCTGGCTGAGGTGGGTGTGGGGCTTAGCCAGTCCCACTAATTCCACTGTGGACATCAGTTCTTGCCTCCTCTGCAGATGTTCAGGTGTAAGTCAGGATTAGCAAGAGTCATCACTCACTATTGAAACCTCTTCTCCATATAAATGCCCTTCCTCATGACCTCAGGAGATCCCACAAAGACACTCTATTCAGAAGAGTTTGTGGTGGTGGGTGCACTGTCTATCATGGGGCTCTCAAATCTACAAAGCAGTGTGCCTGAAGCCCACTTGCAGATGGAGTGTTCCTCAGAAGTACAGGTGACCAAGCTGCAGTGTCCTTCCTGGCATGTCTGGGCTTCATCCCAGGCTTGTGTCAGGTTAAAGCTGGGGCACCTGAGTAACTGTCAAAACCAAGACATTCCTGGGGCTCGAGAGATGGCTCAGCGCTGACAAGCACTGGCTGCTTTTCCGGAGGACATGGGTTCAGTGCCCAGCACCCACATGGTGCCTAACAACTCCAGTTCCAGGGAGAACTCCAGTTCCAGGGAATCCAACACCCTCTTCTGACTTCTACAGGCATTGCAAGACACAAGTGCACTTACATACATGCAAGCAATACACTCATGCACATAAAATAAAACAACACATTTTTAAAAACCAGGACATTCCTGAGAGGTGAAGGATCTGAGATGATAGCAGGGTGTCAGGAGTCAACGAGGACTCTTCAGCATGCGAGGACAAGGGTCACACAACTACGGAGGCAGCAAGGAAGCTCCAGAGCTACCTACTGTGATATGGCATAACCCAGTGTCAAGTTTGGTGCTTGAGTCTGGGGTGGGGGCAGCTGAGTCTCAGTAGAGTTTCTACCATGTGTGTCAGTAAGAGTTCAGTAAAGAGTGAGTGAGGACTTTGCTCCAGTCTAAAGGTCATTCCAGGTGGCTGTGGAGCCCTCTGTAAATTTGAGAACTTTTCTATGAAGCCTATGGAGCCTGCAGTGAGGTGACGCCCCTCCCACAGACAAAGTGAAGCCTCAGTAACCTTTAGAAATCTCAAAATTCCGACCTCTTCAGCCACCACCAGAAACCCATTGGCAGCCACCCCCAGAGAGAAGTATAAATGGGCCTGACCCTGTCAGCTCTGTTGGCCTGTCCTATAAGGAAGGGACACAGAGGTGCTGCACCACACACTATACAGCCACATCACACACACCACACAGACGCACCACACATCATATACTACACAGACACAATACATACAACACACCATATACCCACCATACACCACATACATCACATACCGCAGAATATCACATACCACAAACCATGTATCTTATATTTTATACATCACACACTGCACAGACACACCACCAACACAGCACATAATACATATACTACACATGATATAAATATACTACACACCATATACCAAATACATCACACACCATACAGACATACCACACAAAACACACACTGCATATACACCATACAAGCATACTACATACAATATACCATGTACACCATACACCACATACATCACACACTACATGGACATAATTTGCAACATACCACATAGACACATTGTACAGACATACCATATACCACACATCATATACCACATACATCACACAGACATACACACCCCACACCGCACAGACACACTGCATATATGTATTATATACCACACACTATATATACACAGATACACACACTATACACCACACATGTTGTATGCACAACACAGACATACACTAAGTACCATATGTGCACAAAGACATATCATATATCATATACATATAAATGTCATATCACATACATAAACACATTACACACCATACACAGACACATATCACACACTGACATATATACCTTATATACCATATACAAAGACATACCACACACCATGTATGAACACACTGCATATATGTATTATATACCACACACTGTATATACACAGATACACACACTATATGCCACACGTTGTATGCACAACACAGACACACACTAAGTACCATATGTGCACACTCAACATACCACGCACTCCCAGTGAGTTCCTACAGTATCAACAATGAAGTACAGGGCACAGCTAAGAGGTCCCTGTGTAGGGTGAGTCCACACAGTGACTCCAGCCTTTGATGGATATGACATAGAGGAACAGGAATACCTGAGAAATGTTCCCCCTATTCTTCAGAGGTAGCTCTTTCTTCTCTGCTGGTTGTGGGGGGACACGGGTCTGCATCATGTAGTCAAATGTGCTCTTGTTCTTGCAAACTGGAAAGGGAAGGGTAGGAAGAGACAGGGTCACCCAGCATCCATGCCCAGTGTCATAGAGTACCCCATATGCAGTCCACCCTGACAGCAAGTGACTGCCCTATGTCCTGGAGTCAGGATGAGGACCAGGTACAACAGGCCAGGCAAACAGTGCTCTGTGCATTTTACAAGGGACAGAAACCATTCTTGTTACCCAAGGCAAGCCAGCACTAGAGAGGGCTGCACATGGCAGTTCTCATGGGTCCCTGCCCCTTGCAACATGAGACAGTGCTCCAGATCCCCCTGGGATGGCTGCAGGAAGCCAGGGGAAGCTCAGGAAAGTCCTCCATGACTGAAGGTTCGGGCAATCTATTGTCTGCAGGGCCACTTAGGGGCATAGGGAAGTCCTCCTGGACAGGAGTGTTGCAGCCCTAGGCTAACCCAACAGGCTGTCTCTCTTTCCCAGGTGTTCTTGTTCAGAACACACAGGGCCACCAACAAAACATGGGGCATGGCAAGCAATTCCAGCCCAACCTGAGACTTTGGCAACTACACACAACTGAAGAAATTTAGGCTATTACAAGAAAATCTGAGGCGTTTGAGAAACGAGCAGTATTGGTATAGAAAAGCTGTTGCCTATCCAGCCGTATGCTTCTGGAGAGGGGCCTTGCTCTGATTTCTCTTCAAAACCAACACACATGGGAGGAGGTGGCTTGCAAGTATTTCTGGGGAGCTACAGGGCCACCTACATCCCTATTTGCAGCTCAAGAAGCAGATGGGATGGGCCACCCCCTCCCCAGAGGTCCTGCAGGATATGGCTTTGTGATGTTGGAGTGACGCATCTCCCTAGATCTACCTGGCTGTGATCCAACCTCCCCAGCTCCCAGCACCCATGTCAGGCCAAGACTATGGGCTTGCACTTGCTTACACTATAGTTAAATATTCCTTTCTCCTGGGTTTGTACAAATGTCATCCAAGCCTGATGATGAACATGCCCAGTGCTGAGTGCCATCCTTTGGTATGAGAAAGTACCACCAGCCAGCTCTGGCAGTATGCGGATCCTTCCCTGTCTCCACTGAATCCAACTTGTTGCTCCTCCCTCGGCATGAATACACCTTTGCTTGTCCCTCCATAGTGGACACTTCAGCTAGGGGTTGGGCCCTGGAACCTCCAGCCCATCTTCAAAGTACAGCCTGAGGGTAGGCAGTTCCTGACAGGCTTATGGCAGTTCATATGGGTGCTCACAGCTGGAGGTCCAGTCCATGAGTGTGGGCTAGACCAACAGAGGAAGCTCCCAGTGAGCCTTCTTCATGGCCAGGGCACAAAACTGAACTTCCCTCCCCACTGCTCTTGTGCTCCTTCCATGAGGCTGGTCACCGTGAATCACTCCACCGTCTGCATAGCAAGGATCAGAGCGAGATGACAGAGGGAGAGCTACAGTTTGGAGCAGTCTTGCTCTTACATAACAACCAATATGTCAAGTTTGTCCTGGAAGTATTTGATGTCCAATTGCCCAAAACTCAATATGCTCAGCCTGACTCCAGTTCCTCCCTCTCAGAGGGACATTTTCCAAACTCCTCACAGAGAACAGCCCTGTCCTTAAGCACAACTCCTGCTGCAGCTGCCATGGGTCCTACCTCATCCTGCTCTCAGCCCTGTCAGCTCATCCTGAGTGCCACAAGAGACCATGCTGACAACAGCTCTGGGCAGCTGGTTGCCTCCCTGGCTTGTCCTCCAAGGTTTGATGAACAACTGCTGGTATTACCTGCGCAGTACACTCAGACAGTGTCGAAGTCCACTAGGACTTCAGGTCCCAGTTCTGTATATAACCCTGGCTCACCAAAGACATGCCGGGCTGGAAATAATCTCATGGCACAGCAGGCCCCACCCAGTACCACCTTCTCTCCAAAGCTCCAGAGGGGAGGGTGGCATGCCGCAAGCTGTAAGATACCTTGGCTCTCTGTGAGCTCCCTCCTTGCCACATGTGTGAACACCCTACTTGCTACATGTGCAACAGTGCAGGCATTCTGTAGCTCACCAAGGGCAAAGGAGCCAGCTCAGCTCAGCAGCTCCAAGAGCAATGGTCTAGATCTTTGGTCATCCCCTACACATTCCCAGACAATTCACTGACCACTGGCTTCAGAGAAACTCACTAGTGGAATCACTATGGCTGTGAACCACCATAGCTAAGCTTTTGTGTAAGAGAGATGAAAATGAGTCCTGGTCACTGTTCTGGGAAGAAGAGGCTCACTGAGAGCTCTTGGATGTCACTATTCCACAGAATGAGGGTGGACCAGTACTCTCTGACCTCTGCTACCTTCTCCTTGCCGAGATGCCAACATATGACTCTTTCCCGAGAGGCTGGATGACCTTGAGCACCATGAACAAGCCATGTCTAGCATCAAGGATCTTGGGACCAAAACCCAGTGGTGCTAAGTCACCTACACCACAAATCTGGGTAGTGCTTTCAAGAAGAGGAGGAAATCGAGGCGAGGAAGCCATCCTGCAGCCCTAACTGTCCTGGTAGTTGAATCAGGCCTTCCTTTCAATGTGTGTCCAGGTGGGCATGTGGGCCCAGCGCTTGGGCCTTAGAGAACTATCAAGGCCTTCTGCACTGCACCTACCCCACCTCTGTGAGTGTTATCTACATGGAGCCCAGGCTTCTGCAGCTCTGGTCCTGACAGAGGCTGCTGTGATGGGTTTGTGTCTTTGCCTCTGGTTTTAAAGGGCAGGTGTGGTAGACTGGCATCCCAACTGACTCTTGGAACCAGCATTCCTCAGGATATATAGGGATCATGTATTGGGTTTGGTTCTATGAATGCCAACAATACAACATACCCCTGACACCAGGATGTGGCATGTCACATCTGGGGCCTCCAACAGTCCTGGGTGAATCTTTGAGCTCCAGGAAGATTTAAGACATTGCTATCAGGATGTCCCTGGGCTGTTCTTCAGTCTGGGTAGGTGGCAGGGAATGTACCCAGCCTGTTTGGCCTCCTGGGGGTGTTGGATTCAGGAGTAAGAATGGTACAAATGTCAGGCTCTACAGCTTCAGCCTGGGCTGTTTCATGTGTAGGCTGTGTGGTCCTGGAGCCTGGTGTTACGAGTTTCTATGTGAATGGGGATAGACAGAGACAGCTGCCAGATCCTGGGCCCTTGCTGCTGAGTGTCTCACATATGGCACCGGTGGGACTAGATATAGTCTGGCATATCCCAGGGGCCACACTCCCTCCCAGGGGCATTCTGCAGGAAAAAGCCAGCATCTCGCGGTGCTCACCAGTCCGGGTTAAGCACCCTTAGACCTCACCGTGGGCTCTCTGCCCATCCCACACCGACATATGCCCAGCTTCTTCCTCTAGCCCAGGAAAGTGCTGTCTATATAACATGCCTCATTACTGTTGTTCCCCATCAGAACATGGGCACCTCCACACCTCATACTCAGGACTGCCCCCGATAAAGCTGGCTAATGGTGAGAACAAAGTCCTTACTATGGAGCGGAAAGAAAAGGCCATTACCACCGAGGCAGTGCGCCCAGGCAGTGGGAGCCCTATTCATCTGCAGGGCCTGTAGCTGTAGGTCCTGTAAAGAACACTGGGTATGGTCCCAGCTGCTCCCCTAACAGAGTGAAATGTCTGGAGAAAGGGGGCAATGCACTCCACTCGCAGTCAGGTGCCTGGAAAGACGGTACTATTGATAAATCTGAATACATTTAGACATGAGAGAAATTTCTAGATAATCTTGGAAATTAATGATTTTTTTAATTCCTGATTATAAAAGTAGTGGAGTTTTAAAGATGACCTACAGGGTGACTCATTGTCAGAGTCACAGAGACTGTGAGGTGCCCCTCCAGCCTTAAGCCTGATGAAGCAGCACATGGTATTCTCTTGAGACAGACAGCTGAGTTAGGTCTGAGACCTGATTTTATCCCACTCTACATAGTATAGGAGCTGAATGGGTCATTTCTAACAAAAATCTGAAAATATAACTTTGAATTGCACCCACAAGATTTAATCCAATGGTTTTTCACTGTACAAAAAAAAAGCCCAAACCTCAAGCAAGACAGGAGAAATCATAATGCTGAGGTCAGGAATGTAGGTTAAGAAGTACACTTGTATGTTCGTGGTGATGCGAATCCCTGGTCATGAGTGGGGCCTTTCCACAGGGGGAGAGCGGATCTCTGCTGAGCACTGTCACCACAACCATGGGTAGGGTTTATACAGAGCCTCACCTGGCTTCCACCCTCCTTGAGGTGAGGCTAAGTCGGGCTTCAGGAAACCATTGCCGTAGGAGTGGCCCACTGCTCTCAAGCCCAGGCCCGCAACTCCCAGAGACCGAAGAGGCATTGTGGCCAGCGTCCCATAGCAGAAGCAATGTGCACAGGAGGCAGCTCTAACTTCCACAGAAAGGCTTTCTCAGGCAGAGGATCCCCTCTCCTACTCAACAGCAGGACCAGGTACCTGGCACACATTTGTGGGTGTAAACTCTCCCTTTGGCTCTGTTTGGGTGGGGGAAACCTGTCCATCCAGCTTAATTTTCATTGTTACAACTTCAACCTAGTACTTTCCTACATCATCTGTGCCATTTTCGTAATGTCCTGTTCTTGCCTGATAGTACTAGTCCCTCTGACTATTTTAGTCTCTCTGGTGCTTTCTTGCAGGCCTTGGAAGATGAGCTTAGTTCCTTGCTGGACTTGCTGACCTTCTTATGGTACAGGAACTCATTTCTGGAAAGGCTGCTCAAAGCACTGTCTGCCTGAGGAGAGGTGAGCTCAAGGGGCAGGGCTGGGGTAGGTACGTACTCAGATACAGGTGGAAGATGAGCAGGTGCCCAAGCAGCACGAAGCTGGTAATGGCCAGCAGCAGTACCACCACATCGATAGAAAGAACCATGGGGGTCTTCACTCGCACAGGCCACAAGGGAAGGAACAGCAGCCATACGTTCTCAGAGCTGATGTCTGTGGAGACAGAGAGACACATCCATCCAGCACCTACCCACATAAGCAGCGCCTGTGATCAGATGAACAGAGGGACAGAGCTTTCCAGGGTGAGTGAGGACAGCCAGGCAAGAGATGCCTCCCAGCCCAACATTTACCCTGCTCTACTGTGGGCCCTCTGGCCCTACTGGCTATAGCTGGCACTGTTAACCCCACTTTATGAGTTCAAGATGATGCTTGAAGAAGTGCCTAAATACTAGAGTGCAGACCAGCCCTCTCCTCCCATCACCTGCCCTTCTCTGAAGCTATGGCCTTGTATGTCAGACCAGCCACCTCATGGACGTCATGAAGGTCAGGCCTACTGGTGCATTTCTTGGTCACGGCCCACCATGGCCCTCAAACCCAAGACCAGGGGTAAGGGATTTCTTGGGTCACATGGTAGCTCAAACATCTCACCCCACAGCATATTCTAGAAATGGCTTGGCTGTTTCTAGAATGGGCTCCTACGTGTGCCACCTGAGAAGGATGTATCACACGCTTCTGTGGGATGCCAGCTCATAAATGACCCTTAATCAGTGATGGCGTGATGAACTCCAGTCTGTGAGATGTTGAGCCAGGGCATAGACCTTGTGCGATCCTCTGGAACAGCAAGCCAGGAAGTGGCTTTCACCTAAACTCAAAGAACCACAGGAAGCCATGTAGAACCAGTGTACTCCCAAGAGAGATGTGACATGCTAACCTGCATCGCATTTGACATCATAGTCAGTGGACCTAGCCATGTCACCACCACATTCATGAGGCCTCCTTCTTCCCTTCCTGTGCTTGCTTAGCATGGTGATTGTTTAGGAAGATGTCATGTTACTAAGAAGACATTGTAGTAACTTGGTACTCAGGAGGACCAAGAAGCCCTGAGTGGTTTCAGGGGATACAGGAGCTGAGGGCCTTCCACATGGAACAAAGCTTTTTCTTAAAAGAACATTCTGTCATGTTAGTTCCAGAGATACCCTAGGGTAAGTGGCATTCAGGTCCTATCCTCTCCTGCTGCGGGGTTTGGGAAGATGTCTGTAAAACCTGGAGTAGAGATGGGGTAGCTTCCCCTGCCCTACAGGATGACCAGCAAAGGAGCTTCCCACTTCAGTTGCCTGGATCAATGTCCTGGGCTGTCATGACAAATGACCATAAAATTATGGAACTTAGACAATAGACAGTCGCTCACATCTGTAGGCAACAAGCTTAAAAATCACAGAGTGGGCAGAAGTGTTCTTCCTCTGAGGCTCCGGGGGGAGGGTCCGTCCTGCCTCTTCCTGCTCTGGGTACCACAGGCCCTCCCGGGTTTGTAATGTATCACCCAGCCTCTGCCTCTGCCTCCATGTGGCCTCTGTGTGTCTGTCCTTCCTTTTGTTTCTCCTGGGGAAACCTGACATTGTAGTTGGGTACCTGGGTGCCCCAGGATATGCTCCTCACTTCAGAATCTCTAACCACATCCACAAAGACCCTTTTTCCAAATAATATGCCATCCCAGGTCTGGGTCAGGACTTGAGCACATCTTGGAGGCCACATCCGTTGTCTTTCCCTCTTGCTCAGTGCAGACATGTGTGCCAATGATCTGAGCTCCCGAACTTGTTTTGTCAGAGTGTATTGAGCTTCCCCTTGGCAGTTGCCTCATACAAGACAGACTTCTGTATTCTCTACACCACACTGACATGAGGTCCACTGTCTGGGTGCTCAAGACTGACTGGAGGGACAGTAGGGTCAGGGCACATACACATCACTCTCATCCCTGAAAGCTAGACCTCAGAGGAGGCCATGCCAGCTGGAGGGTAAGGCGACATAGATGGCTGGAGGGTGATGGAGACCCAACAGGAAGGTGAGGCTGGGGGACCAGGAAGATGGTCACTGAGAAGCATCAAGGTACCTTTATACAGGTGGTCTGTGCGGAGCTCGTCGGGGTTGACAAAGTACTGGATGAAGACGTACAACAAGATAAACACAATGCCAAGAAGGCCAGCTGTAGCTGAGATCACGGAGCCAAAGAAGAAGCTGCATGGGAGGAGCAGAATTACACTCAGAGATAAGGGAACACAGGGCCAGGTCAGACCAACACCCAGCCAGGCCATGAGGTCAGCACAGGCCTGGTATGGGTACGCTCATGGGAGTGCAGATCTCAGCATCCGCTGGAGTTGGCTTAGCACTTCCTTCTCACGCTCTGTGTCTTTCACATATCCCCAGTACATAGTGGTCGTGCCCTATGCTCCCCATGGCCTCCTTCCTGAACCCTCACATTCTTCCATCCTACTGTCTGAAGAGGAATTCCATTCTTACTTAGTGGGAAAGTTCAGCTCTCAAGACAGCAGAGCCTGTCAATGGGGCAGAACTTCTTCCAACAAGCATTCCCTGATCATAGTTGGCTTGCTCAGGAGTCAGTCTTTCCTTCACCCCCTTCCCGTGTACTGTGCCAGCTTCCTCCAGAATTTATTATACCCATTCTGCAGGACCCATGTGGCACCCCTTTTCTTAGTACTGTGAAGCATGGGGTACTCTTCTGGGCTTCTGTTAAAATGTGGGGTCCAAATTACATCAGAATGCCATCCCCAAGGTTTCTCATGCCCTAGAGAATGAAGGGGCAGAGGGGGATAAAGTACAGATGCTAAGACCCACTGCCACCCAGTGAGAGTGGACAGCCCCCAGCACTCTGCTCTTCCTCTAACTCCACCTTCCCCACAGAGAGGCCATGTCTCAATGCAAGTGTACCTTCTCCTGAGGCAGCAGCTCTCCCTGCCCTCTTCCCACTCATGGGTAGGCCACACCCTTACCTGCCCCAACATGCCTGGCAGACTGAGGAAAGTGATGCTTTTCTGTGACCAGCCAGTGGGAAAGGGGGTAGTGGGCCAGAGCTTCCCAGCTGTTCCCGCCACTGCCAGCACCGTGGTGACACATCTCCCACAGGCCACATTGGGCTGCCCCATGGCACTGAATGCATTCTGCAAGCTTAAACACTCAATAGGGATGGGGCCAAACCTATACAGGTACCTCCTGAATATACAGTAAGAACCTCATGACCCAAGGTACTGTCAGGACAGAGGTGGTGGTCTGCTATATCCTTCCTGTCCATCTTCAGGATCCCCAGGGTTGATGAACAATCTGGACTCTGACCTGGTGTCCCAAGAGCCCTCTAGACTCTGTGCTCATGACCAGGTTAATACCTTAGAGTAGCCTAGATGCTTACACCTGTGCTTCAGAATCTGGTCACTGCTCTTGGGTGGTGGCCACAGCATTGACAAGGCAGGTGGACTCAAGACAGTGAGTTCGGGAGGCTTAGCTAGCCTATGACCTGCCATCCATGGTGATATCTCTAGCAATGGGCTTTTGAATGTGAACTTGACCCATACATTCAGGGATAGCTCCACCAGATGTGTCAGAACAAGCAATACACAGGCACTCTGCTGTGGTTAGGAACAAACACGGCCCAAAGATCATCCTTTCTCTCTGCTGTTCCCCAGGTCCACAGCCACTTTATCACCTGTCACCCATGAGTTCCAGGCCACAGATCCCTCCCCTCAATCATAGCCTTGACCCTGTTTCCTCACTGATAGTTTCTGCTGCCCACACAGTTGTTCAGCCACTTGCAGTGGTGGTCGAAGCCAGAGACGCACTTGTTGCAGGAGCTGCAGTGTCTGGCTTTCTTGCTCCTGGGAGAGAAATTGGGAGGAACAACCTGCTAGCCCCAAGTGCACCATGGGAACTTGGTGTCTAGCATTAAATGGTAGGCTGAGGCTTCCACCTGGAAATGGAGGGGGGGAACTAGAGGTCTGAAGTGTAGAAAAGGCCATCGGGAAGAGGGATGAGCCTGTGCCCGTTGGAAGTGGATCCTGGACTTTCTTGCGGGCAGGCTTGGGTGCTAGGCAGGAGCCTGGAAGGCCTGTCTAGGAGCCTGAGACTGGGAGCTCACCATGTGCCCACAGAGCCTTCCTAGAGCTAACTCAGCATGCTCCAGGCCCTGGAGACCTAGGACCCCACTGGGCATCGGCTGAAATCACCTTTCCTCCTCCACGGTTAGGGATGTGGGGCCTTTCAGGAAAACCACAAGGAAAGGACACTTGTCCTCCCCCAACAAGGCCGGGCCTGTGTGTGTAAGAGCCCCTGAGAGTGAATAGCCTCAGGCTTTAGCTCTTAATACCAAGTAAGTGAAATACAGGGTACCAGAAGGCAGGACCTTCAGCCTGTGGGATAGGATAGCCCAGTGTGGCCTCTTCAGAGGCTGTGAGGACATAAATGTATCATCCAGAGAGTGCCATGCAGGGCCAGTGCTGTCACAGCCCCAGCAGGCTCAGTTGGACCACTATGTGGGGCTCGGGGGCTAGTAAGTGCTCTGTACCCAAGGCCCTGAAAGTGACCATGACTCACAGTTCAGCACAGACACTCACACAGTAACCTCACACAGGTGGCAATACTGGTTCTGGATCACGTGTGCATGTTTGGACCTGTCGAAGGTCGGCACAGGCTCTGAGTAGTCCTTCTTGAGTCGGACGTTGGTGTCAGCTGGATCGATGGTAATTGCAATCAAGTGCATGATGAGGTGGAACGTAAACAGCACACCCATCACCTGGGGTGTCAAGGAACACACTGCCCTGGGCCTAGCTGACATGATACAAGGTGTCTCCTAGGGAGACAGACTGTAGCAAGGGCTAAGGACAGACCTTGGGACCCTTAGTCATTGCTGTTGGCAGCTGTAACCCCCAAACAGATCCTATGGTGATACTTCCAGAGACTCAGCCAGGCTAGCCAGCCACTGACCACAGGGTATACAAGACTCCAAAATGCCTTGGATGATTGGATACAAGGCAGAGCTATGTAAAAGAGAGCTTTATACCTGGGAATGATGGCCACAGTGGTCCACCTGGTCGTGGGTGCTTCCCAGGTGGGAGAGGCCTTGGGTGCAGGCAAGTGGGCCAAGGCCAGGGTGTGTGGGTCCTGTTGACAGGATAAATACTGTGGGCTACAACACAGAGGAAACTTTTATTCACCAGAAACATGAAAACTGAGCATTGGGGATGCAGTACCACCAAACTCAGCCTGAGTTGAGGCCCTACCTTCAGGGATCACCAGACTCAGGCACCCCTGGACTTAGTACAGCTAAGGTCTATCTGGTCATGGTAAGAAGGTCTTTGTCCCCTGATCAAGAGAAGGAGGTGTTCCTGAAAGTGCTAGAGGTAAACTCAGGGCTCCAAGTCCCCTCCATCCTTCCTCCTCCCCCCAGAAAAATATATATAGAAGGGGGTACAGATCATAGGGACTCCCCTTCCCTGTCCTGCCTCTGGGCCTGGTGGTTAGCATTCGTAGCATCTCTAATAGGGCCCCGTGCAGCACAGGCTAAGTCACCCTCTGCCCAAGCAAGACAAAGGCCAAGGGCACAAGCGAGAGGCTCTGAAGAGATTTACTAGGACTGATGAGGGTAGTTGACCAACAAGAAGCCCCTTCTCCACCTGGCTTGCAGTGCCCAGACTGTCCAGAGCCACCCTGCATACGTAAGGCTGGGCTTTGTGCAGACAAGTTGCAGGAGGCCCTAAAGAGGGTCCCAAAGAAACAGTAATGCAAGATACGCCTGTAAGAGGCATTAATACTGATCCAAACCCTGGGACAGGCCTGTCTTCCGGCATGAGCTGGCCAGGGCCCCGGGTTCTAACCCAGGACAGAATTGGGAAGCAGAGTCAGGGCACACAGAGGTGACCATGAGCAAGGTAGGAAGGAGCAAGGCAGATACCAGGAGGACCAGAGTGGGAACTGATGCAGGGCTAAGCAAACATGTGACACAAGGGACTGGACGGTGTGTGCAGAGATGGAAGAGTGCCAGCCAGGCCCCAGGGGACTCACCTACACCACATCAGGGAGGCCCTTCCTATAGACACTCCATGGTGTTGGGGCAGGGCCAGTACCACCTGCTCTGTGCAGAACAGATTGCAGCTGTGGTGTGGGTCAGTGGCCACTCATAGCTGGTGATACTACCATGACCAAGAGAGCCCAGCAGCTGGTGCTCCTCCCTTAGGCTGAGTTGAGGACTGACACACTACCTGCTTGCTTGGTGAGGCATGGGAAGCATGTCCAGAGCCTAGGACATTGATGGGTGAGGGCTGAGGACACAGTCGGGGCAGGAAATCTTACATGGCCTAGGGCCTGCCTCTTCCCCTATGGCACTAGAGTAGCTCTAATTGGAAACCGGTGGGCAGGTGGGGAGCCCAAGAGGTCTCCTGAGGACCAAGTGAGGCCAAGGAAGAGTGGGATCTCTGTGACCACACCCTGTGACATCCTCTCCAGACCTCTAGCATCTACACTCTTCTCACACACGAGACCACTGCTGGGGACTCCGAGAACACAGGCCCATCATGGGGAGACTATGGCTGCAAAGTAGGATCTCAGGGCTCTCTTGAACCCAAATCTGCCCTAGAAGAGAGCCAGCCCCCAATCTGCATGTGGAATATCAGGAGGTTACCCTAAAAACGTCTACTTAGAACAAAAGGGCTCTGATTCCATGGGGACCCCAAGATCTCACATAGAACCTCCACCTAGAACATAGAACCCCTTCTGGGACATGCACTTCTCCCACGTGAAACAAAGTTTAGCGATGTATTTCACTATGTCCTTCTATGTAAGTTTGTCCAGCGACACTTCACCAGCAAGTTCAGCACCTCACATGGACATCCCTGTCACCCACAGGAGCTATGCCAGTGAACTTACTGTACTACATTTTGTCCCAAATGACCTGGTCGGCCACTACCCACCACACACTGGGTGACACTCCCAAGAGAGAGCCCAGAATAGAAACTTCCTCGGTCTCTACCCCTCTTCACATGTGCCTTGTCTCAGTGCATAGCAAAAGGTGAAAGCAGCAGGGTGAGGCTTCCCTCCAACTCCCTCTGGAAGTTTCCATCTGGGAGCCTGTGAGAACTGCAGCTGGCTAGAACATTCCCTAGCAACAATCTGTGTTTAGTAAACAAACAGCGGAAGGGCGCCAGCCTAGAACACCACCCTCCTCAGCCTCCTCAGCACTGATGACCTCTCCCTTGTCCTGTTTCCGCAGGAAGAGGGGAGGCCAAGGCTAGGCAGCCAACATTCTGGTCCTGTTGCAGCTCATGGATCCTCCAGGGCAAATTCTGTGGCTGAGCTAAGAGGCTCAGACTCAAAGCTGCAACAGCGGCGGAAGACACCGTCTTATTGGCCCCATCCCCCAGTTCACATTGCCTTGGCACAACACAGGACACTAGAACAGGTTTCTGTGGCTGAATAGATGTGATATTGCACAGGGACCTTATTTGCTAAACTGTGGTCTGTTTCCTTGGCAACGAGATGCAAGTGCCATCCCCCTGGGGACAGGACCTTCACGGCCACCAGCACGGTAGACCCTTCTCGAGGCTCAGAAGCCTCTGGTTCCCTCAGGTTCTCTCCACAGCAAGCCTTTGCCCTTCTCCCAACCTGGGTCCTTAGGTCACACCCAGCCCCACCTGGCTTCTTGCTGGTGTCAAAGAACTCTGGCGCCCTCTAGGGACCAAGGTATAGCACCAAGAACTGCAGGCTGCACCCTGATGTTTAAGTGTAACCAGGCTGGGGATAGGCTGGAAAATAGGGTTCCCGAGGTAATCTGCCCCAACAACTAGAGAAGCTGCCCCAACCCCCAACTGGGGGCTGAACCTCCAAGGAAGGATGAGGCAGGGCTCTGGAAGGAAGGGAAAGCCGATGTTCGGGTGTTCAGCAGGAAAGATCCAGGGCCAAACAGGGCCAGGTTAGAGATCAAAAGAAGAAACCAGTGGTTATAAGGCAATGCCTACATAGTCTCCCACACATATGTCCTTTCCCCAGAATGGCAAAGGACCTTACCTGCAAATAGGATCATCATAAATGATCAAAGTAAATGAGGTCACTGGGGAAAAGCTGATCCAATGTGGTCACAGACCTTATAAAAATGAGAAATGTCACCTTGCACAAAAGTCAATTCCAAATGGATCAAAGCGTGAAACTCTGAAACTGTTAGAAGAAAACATTGGCAATAACCTACAAGATGTAGGTGTAGGAAAGGATTTTCTAAACCCGACATCAAGTGCTCAGGAAACAAGGGCAAGACTCAACAAATGGAACCTCATTAAACTAAAAAGCTTCTGTACATCAAAGGAGGCAACCAGGGAAGTGAACAGAAAACCCACAGAATGGGAGAAAATCTTCACCAGCAACACATCTGACAGAGGTTTAACATCCAGAATATATAACGAACTCAAAAAACAGAGAATCAAGACAGGAAGTAACCCAGTTAAAAGATGGGCTAAGGAACTGACTTAGTTTGTTCTTCATTGCCGTGACAAAACACTCTGACCACTACCAACTTGGGGAGGAAAGGGTTTATTCAGCTTACATCTCCCAGGTCACAGTTCATCAGGGAGCCCA